TATCAAAAGGCAACAAGGGCTTCCTTTAATGTGTTGTATCTGCCTGTCACGTCAGCCGCCTCCATCCCTCAATCTGTTTAGCTCTCCTCGTTCCAACCTGTTTCGTTCCTAACTTTATCCACAATCAGCGTCTGAAAAGCCTCACCTTCTTTCTTTTGCTTTATTCAATATATTTCTTTCCCTAATGCTCCCCCCCCCCCACCCCACCCCACCCCCACCCCCCCGTAGCATGGTAATGTTCTCTGAAATTACAGTGGGGGTAAACAGAGCAGGGAGTCGAAATGAAATAACTGCTACAGGGCTGTCAGGTCTAGCGAGGGAGCCATCCGTCAGCAGGAAATGACACGTCGTCCACCCCCACCCCTTCTGACACACACAGTTTTATTCCTCTTCTCCTCCTGGTGGCAAGGTGAAGGAATTATGCTCATCAAAGCCCCGGCATCGCCTGGAGCCTTTCCATTAACCTTATACAGCTCTGGTCAATGGTGACGGGACCAATCAGCTATCACACACACACACACACACTCACACACAGTTTCTTAGAGCCATATATGCATAAAGCAGGAAATATATCTACACACAAGTATACAGTTTACGCTGTTTCTCTGATGGAACAAAGCCCATACATAATTACATTGAGAGAGGATCCACACACACACACACACACCTGAATTACCGTTTCATTCATAGCCTGACAGTAAGTGCAACGGCTGACATTAAAGGAAATTAAATCTCCTTGTGGAATGGGCCAGCCCATCTCACCTCCCGTCAAAATACTCCTATTTCTACTCCTCTCCCCCAACCTTCTCATCTGGGTATTTAAGGCTTTGCGGCGCGGAACGTCATCAAAGGAAAAAGTTAGCGAGGCGGCCGTGCTCGGAGGAGGCCTCCCTGTGATAATACCCGCTGCTAACGGAGCCCTCTACAATTAGCCCACGCACCCAAATTACTGCTTCCCGTTCGGCACAAACCGGCTCACGTTTAGAAAGGAAAGTGCTTTCATAGCAGCACACACACACACAAATACACCAACTTATCCTTGGCTTAGCCCAATGAGTGAGTAAGTCGGTTAACTCTTTGATCCAGACCTCCTTTCTGCTTTCAGATATGAAGCCTATCTGACATAATCCTGAAAAACATCAGCTCACAGAGCCGCTGAAACTCAAAGGAAAGCGCAGCTGCGAGGCTACGCTCTCTCTAGGGACTTAGCAGGAGAGTGACACATGTACAGTAGATTCTTAAAGGCAGATTTAATTAAACCTCATTCACCGCCTCCTGCGTTTATACAAACTCTCGCTCGCTTCACACACTCTAAAGCGCTCAACCTGCAGAGGAAGGAGGAGCTTAGTTAGATAATTGAGTTCACGGTTAAGGAAGGAAAACGCTGCGGTCTCAGGCACCGGCTTCCTCCCGAAGGTTTTAATCAGATCAAACATGTCCTGTCAGATAAGGCAGCTAATTAATCAGGGGAGAGACCAGTCCTTTCCTCTCACGGATGGAAATGATGGAGGAAAGACACTGGTGGAGACGCTTCCTGTCCTCCACCTCCTCCACTTCTTCCTTTAACATCAGTGGGAAGCTGAAGAAAAGAGAGTAAGACGGCGTTGCCTGTGGTGAATCACAGAGTCTTTAAGGACTCTGTCTTTAAAAAATATACATCGTCCCTTCAGCCTGAAGTTCTTTTCAACTTCCAGCTGAGAGGATGACAGGCCTCTCAATTTAAGACTTACTGAAGCAGCTGTTTACACAGCTAAATGTGTGCAGGACGCACTAAAACTGTCTGTGTGTTTGAAAATAAGTAGAGTCGAGTATAACATTCATGATGTATTGGAATATGCAGTATCGTTTTACTATTTATGAGGTATTAAAGTATCTTTCCGGAGTTTCCCCCTTTCAGAAATTATGTGTGATTTTTCAGAAATCCGTAAAAGCGATTGGCTCATCATGTGCTGTGATATAACGTAAGCAATACGCCTTTTTATTTTATTTTTTTGCTAAACACGCTCCCTGAGCGCTGATCAGAACTAACCAATAGCGTTAGACTACTGCTTAGATGCTTCAACTTTCAGGAATACCTCAGCTGATGCAGAGCATATACATATATGAAAACACAACATGACATGACAATAGTACTTGTAAAACAATGTGTTGTAGCTCTGTTTGTCGGCTACAGGAGCACGTTTACAAACGAGAAATGTGAAGTCGCCGTCTTAAAAGAACAGAGCGACTGACTTTTTGTGTGATATGCTTGTCGGCCACTAGATGGTGCCATCGGATAAGAGAAATACTCAGGAAAGAGGCCTTAACGATTCTAGTAGGAAAGCATCGATTTGATGAAATATCACGATATGTCAACTTATGATACTTTAATTCAAAATTTACAAGCAAACATTTACTGTATTTCTTTTGTGTGGTGCAGTTCAAACTCCGACCACTAGGTGGCAGCAGTTGTTCTCGTTTCCAGTTAGATGGAACAATGAGGTTTTGCGATCACACTGGATGTGTCTCGAAAGCATCTGGCCTGATTTTTCCGATGAAATTCAGTCTTCTGTATTATATAATGTTAGGCGTTTTGTATCGTAATACATCGTTTGTTGGATTGGATTGTGATACATATGAAATCACCAGATCCAACACACACCTCAATGTTCTGGCTTTGAGGACTTACTGATTTCTTATTCTGAGATGTTTCATGTCTACCAACAAAGATTTTGGACAATAAAACTTCCACATGGAACAATAATTAATGCTAAGCCCATTTTTGGTTCTTTTTTAAACACAAATAAGGTTTTTCTTTACCTTGCTGATGTTTCGTTTGCGGCTGCAAACATCTTCAGGGCTGACGCTGATGGTGGCGTCACTTCCTGCTCTGTTTCTCCGCGGGCAGCAGAGGACGGAGTAGGAAGTGACGCCACCATCAGCGTCAGCTCTCAAGATGTTTGCAGCCGCAAACAAAACGTCAGCATGGTAAAGAAAAACCTTATTTGTGTTTAAAAAAGAACCAAAGATGGAATTAGAAGACAAACACAGCAAGAACGTACAAAAGAAATCATTAATGCTAGCGCAAATGAACGTTTAGCCATGGTGAGTTCACACACACGTCAATCTTTTTTTAATTGCTGGACACATTTTTTTTTACTTCGTTTGAATTTCAGATTAATCGATCACCATGTTAGACAGTCATGCTAAATATTGGCTAATCCCATTATCAGATGGTCCTTTGGTGGATCTTCATAAGGCCTAGCTTAAAAGTCCACGCCTATAGACTTTTAATTTCCCAACTTTAGGAACAGATACCCTGTAGAATGATTATTCCTGACAAATGCACAAACATTCAAACACAAGCTGTACGGATGCATCAAAAGAAAAAGAACATTTTACGTACTTCGTATGGAAATCTAAATCTCTCTCTCAGATTTTTGGAACTAGAACTGGGCTGCTGCTTATCATGTGTGAACATGCTTGTGCATGGGTGAATGGTCAGTGTAAAGCGCTTTGGAGTAATGAATTATGAATGTATGCATGGATGCCGTTCTCATTAAAAAGTTCCAGTGTTCATTCATTCATTGTGTTCCACTTGCTGGCTGACTGCAGTGTTGGGTTTTCTCTGGAAAGATTTAACTTGTGATGGTCCTGGCTGGTGCTCGATGAAAGGTTGACCCCCAAATTCCACTACCTCCGCTCCGCTCCGGTCCGCCCCCGCCTTCTGCAGCCGCTCGCTTCCGAACTCAAATTATACTGGTACCCGCTCTACAACGGCTCCGCTCCGGTGCGGAGACCTGAGGTGGGCAAACAAGCATGCGCAGGATTTTCGAGATCTTGCGATACAGTCCGAGCAATAAACGCGGAAGTTAGATCCAAACACCCGTTGTGTGGGAGAAGCATCGAAATGAACTGTTTAATCTGCCCATCATTTGTGTTGAGAGATCAGCAGTGTTTGGATCAACAAAGTGTGACTACTTTGAGAGTAGAAACTGTATTTATGGCTTATTTTTGTGCATTTAAAGTTCAGCCGCCATTGATAGTTGTTAAAAGTTGTTAAACCTGTGCATATGAAACAAAAAACGCCTTTTGTTTATCGATTTATTGTGAAAAACGGAAGTTGTGCTTGCTCCTTTTCCTGTTGGGCGGTTGTGATTTCTGTCCATTGACTGCGGAGGTGCTCTGGCGTCCGGCAAAAATAGGATCGATTCTATTTTTGCCGGACGCCGGAGCAGAGGGCGGCGCACTGCGCCGCACTGCCGGAGCACGGCCGCAATAGTGGAATTGCTCTGATTGACTACAACGGGACCGATTTTGCTCCGGAGTTCGTGCCGGAGCGGAGCGGCGGTAGTGGAATTTGGGGGTTAGAGATCCACAAAGAGAGAGAGAGAGAGAAACTCTGGCTGGCTGCCTGATTGGATGAGCCACTCTCTACCTGGAGGAAGGATGGACTGAATGTGATTTGGAAAGTTGGAGAAGTTTATGCCGATGCGCCCACAGGCTACAACATCATAGTTTCATAATTACCAACAAGGGTGGCGTTTCATGTTTCATTTAAATATCAAGAGGCTTAAAGCTTAAACGGTATGGGTCTGTGAGTGATTGACTGGTGAAGCTGTCTCAGGCTGCTCTACCGCGGGCGAAACTTGCCACCAGTTGTGGCAGCCTCTGGACGAACACGACTGCCTCATGATCTTTAAAACGGGTCATCCTACCAGCAGACAGCCGCATTAAGCAACTGTAATGAAGATAATGCAAGCTGTTAATACAGACCTGCACCTGCAACTCACACAATCTACAAAATGACCAACGCACTTGTTTGATCGGGAAGCCCGAAGCATGCTTAATTATTGATACATCCTAAAGTGTTTGAGTAGATAAATATGTTTGTCTCAAAGGCCAAATGTCATGTGAGTTCATCTAGTTTGACAAAAAGTTGCTGCATATTTTACTGTTCCTTTAAAGCTGCGATTTCCTAGCATTTCATTTTCTCTCTGCTATCCATCTTGTCCCTTCAGCAACAAGAACAGGACCCCACCAACCTGTACATCTCCAACCTGCCAGTGTCTATGGATGAGCAGGAGCTGGAGAACATGCTGAAGCCCCTGGGTCACGTCATCTCCACACGGATACTGAGGGATGCTAATGGGGTTAGCAGAGGCGTTGGCTTTGCCAGGTAAATGTAAAAACCATGAAACCAATTTTCTATTTCTATTTTGTGTCAAAATATGTGTTACACAAATCTTTTATATTCTTTTTATTTCATATTGAGCATCAAAATACCAAAGCTTATATTTCATTAGGCTGTGATGGTTTCAAACTACATTAGCGAGATTCTTCCCAAAACGTCTTGAAACAGTCTTAAAAGAGACATGTCAATCAAAACTTACCTTTTACGTGTTTTTGTACATACTCCAAACACGAAAAAACCCGGAGTCAGGTGCCTAAAACAAGCTGTTTCAAATCTGTTTCCAAGCTGTTACCTCTCCAATCTGGAGGAGCAGCGACTCTACTTCAAGCCCATCCCAGATATTGGAACTTCTCAGCCTATAGCAGCTTGGGTGGAAGATGAGTGGGCATGGCCAGCAAAAGCTTGTTTCCTTAAAGGGACTTTTCGGACTTTTGAATTTTTATGCTCGCGATTGCCCCCTCAGGCCAAAAGTGTAATGGCAGCTTCAATAGTAGGCACGTGCACGAGGCGCGCATGCTGTACGTGCACACTCCTTAACGAAAATAACAGCTGAGACAGTCCTGTGTGTGTGTGTGTGGGGGGGGGGGGGGCAGAGGACATGAGAACACGCAGCTAATTAATTAAATAATTTGGTTCTGTACCTTTCTCTTCAGCATAGCCGACAAAGGTTTAAGATGGGTCAGTCCTCCTGCATGCTCAGACCATTTTTTATCTGTGAATTCAATGCCGTTCGGCGAGTCTCAAAAATGTGGGCATCTTACTGTAAAAAAAATATACCATTAATGTAAAAAAGGAACTCCAAATAAACTATGTTCACACCCAGAATCAAACCTAGGTCTTCAGCATGAGAGTCCGACGTCTTACTAGGTGAGCTAAAGCGCCAGGAATATTTGCTGTATCTGTAACATTTGCATCCTTGATGACAGCTGAAACAACGTCAATCCAAAGAACGGTTCGTAGCGAAAATGGCTATTTTGTTGTTAATTTGCTGGAAATATCTAGAAGAAAATGCTACAGAAAGTAGTTAAGGGTCCTCAGAAATGTAGCTAGGTTCATCACTAGGCTTTAGGAACAGCGACAAAGTCGCTGAGTTGGCGCTACTTCTCTCTCTGCTGCTAACGCTATGGATAGCAAATGCTACGGGCTATGCCTGAGCGTGAACGCGCATGAAGCAGCCTGCTCGACCCGAGCATCTCTCTTTTTCTGTGATTTTACAGAAAAACAGGCAATCACAGTAAAAATGCCAGGGCTCATTCTACAGGACCAGGGCATTGCAGGAGAATGTATGAAGAAGAAGTTTTCTATATTTCTATACATGTGTTGGCTGTCAAACTTCCTTATAGTCCCTTTAAAATGACAGAGCCCTGAAATGGCTCATTATGGAAGGAATTGAAAATGGTGAGAATCAAACATCGTTTTCTGTGAGTAGGATTTAGTGTAAAGAACTTCAAAAAATGTTTAAACATTTTAAAATAAGCAATAATAGTTCTCCTTTAAGGATTTTAATTCTCTCTCTTCAGGTTTTAGGGCCTTGCCACTGGAATTTTTAACAATTTGGAAAAAGGTTTCTCCCAAAATGTCTCTCCCATTAGTCATTTGTCACAGGATTTTGGAACCCTTCTCAATTTAGTTTTCATGAGTCAGAAAGTTGGAAAATGTGAGACAAATTCGGGAGGGGATGTCAACTTAGAAAAAAAAATTGAACTGCCTGCAGACAAAAAAATAAAAAAAAATGTAATAATATTCCATGCTGGCAGAAAATGCCACGGGAATTCCTGAGAGCAGAACAGAACTGCAAAATAAATTGGGATGAATTAAATTGCAAAATAATATATTTGCAGGACATTTGCACTTTATTAGTAGTTTTAACATTTACAAAAGCGAAAAATCACATGAGACACTGGCTAAAGTCTTAAGTGGGCCAAAATAACCCCAGTGGCGCACACTTTTCAGGGGAATGTGTCTTTAAACTTTAGACAGCTCCCTCTGGAGCCGCAGCCAACGCTGCACAACTGTTGCAGTATTCCTTCTGATGAGTTAATTGAAACTGGGGTTTTTAACCCATGTTGAATTGCACAGGAACAGATGCACATGCATATGCATGCTTATATGTGCACTGGCGTCCTGCGTGCAGAGTTTTAATCACTATTTCAGTTGATTTGTTTCCTTCCCTGTGCATTATCATTCACAAACATTCTGCATATACCGGCAGTTACTCCCCACGTTCCAGTCGCTGCAGCCATTTATCCGAGACTAAGTCCATCATTGAACAGTTCATTTCTTTTTCTAGTCAGAAAAGTTTCCACTTCACTTTATTAATCCCCCGAAGTCATAAAGCGTTCTGTCCTTGTCCTCGACAGCAGCCACCAGACTCTCATTCCTCTCTGCACATTTCCTCCCCGTTTACCCAGAGGAGGCTGCTGATGGCCATACATCCGCCATCTTGCAGGGATTTTACTTAATCACCTGCTCCGGCTGAACTCCTCTCCTATTCCCTGCTCTATCACCAGAGGTTACAACGGGACAGATAAACACACAAAAATAAGTTCATGCAAGGTCTTGTGCACCACACATTTAATAAGCTGGCTCCCAGTAGTCCCCCTGAACCAGTACGCAGCCTCCTGCAGACCAGCAAACCGAGCACAGCAACAACCTGCCCCTGGCCACCTGTTCTTGCAGCCCTCGGTAGAAGCAGGAGGAGAGGGAAGGAAACACGGGCCGGGAAGAAAGAAGGAACTGTAAGTTAACGCAAGAGAAAAATATTAAGGAAAAGAAAGTGAAAGGGGTTAGGTAAGGTAAAGAATGATGAAACTGGCCCATAAAAGAAGGCAGAAAGTGAACCGTCCTAAGGAGACCAAATGAATCGATATATTTTATGAAGCGCGGGACTCCCATTAGCTGTGTCAACAGACAGACAGACAGGCAGCTGCTGAGGGCTGGACTATGAGGGGCATTAGAGAGAGTAAACTGAGCTAAGTGTTTGTGGGCTGATCCATTACTGTTATCAGAGCCCATTACTCCAGTCCTGGCACTAATCACAGCAGACAGAAGCACCTGATGCCATTAACCAGCAGCATACATGGAAACATGCCTCCATGGATGTAATTTTGGGGGGGAACAGGGGGGACATGTCCCCCCCACTTTTTCCAAAGTCAAGTTTTGACCCCTGCACTTTTTACCATCCGAAAACAATATTACGCTATATTAAATTGACACTGGTTGAGCTCTAGGACCAAGCAGAAAACAACAGTTTATGTTGAAGCCTGTTTCCCATTAGAGCATACTGTAAAGATCCACACACCCACCCCCACCCCACCCGTGTCCCCCCCACTTCTAAAGTGAAAATTACATCCATGCCTGCCTCCATGTTCACCTGGCCAGTTCACTTACCGACTATTCCTCCTCCATCCCGACTGGCTGACTGGTTTGTTTCATTCTGTCTGACTTGTTTGGCAGCTTGTTTGCAGCCTGCTGTAGAATAAAAACGCAATTTAGTTTGCAATAGTTTAATGTCCGGGTGGGGCTTAAAAGCTGCAATGGCAAACTTGGAAAACAAATTGGCTAAAAAATTTTGTTTCATGCCTCTTAACAACATTCTAACATAGTGTAGCTTTAAATATATGGTGAGATTAAAAAGAAAAAAAGTTAGTGAGGGACTCTGGTGTGAGAGGTTCTTTATCACAGAAGGAGAAACAGCCGGCTGCTACCACTATAACTTTAGGACAAACTGCCAGAGTCCCAAACAGAGAAACACGTTTGGACCGTAAAAATGGTGACAGGTGTTTAGCGCTCTCTCGCTTCTTCTGACAATGTGTGTTTCCGGGTCTGGTGGATGCAAATCCAGGGAAGATACCCTAGGGGAGGGGTGAGTGTTCTAGCTTGTTCGCAGATACGCTATAGCAGCTTTAGTGTAAAGCACAAAAGGAAAACTGATCTGATCAACTTTAATTCGTATTAAATAATCTAATTAGTGGTCCCTCATATATCGCAGGAGTTATGTTTTAAAAATACCCTGCAATAGTCAGCTTCATTTATTACAATTATTATAGATGTTTACAGCATCCGCAGCTACTGATGGGGTCACACACGCGCGAAAACACTGCAGAATGTCCGTTTCTCAACTGTTTTATTGCCAGCATGCGAGAACAGTTTTATTTGCACACGCTCTCTTCAGCGTTTCAGTCTCCTGTATGGCGTTTAAAGCGTGCCACAACCCGTGCACGCGCATTGGGTCCACAGCGCGCGTGTGAACGGGACTCGCGAGCGCAAATATACATGGCAGCGCGCGTGTGAACGGGACTCGCGCGCGTGTGAACGGGACTCGCGAGCGAAAATATACATGGCGAGAGGTCATTTGTGCACTGAGAGGGAGCAAACTGTGTCTGTGAGCGCACAAGGATGTGCACAAGTGACAAACCTGCGTGCGCGCGTTGTCAACGAGCACACGGCAGAGGAAAACGTGCGCGCGCGGCAGCCTCTGTGCGCGCTCGGCAGCCTCTCTGCGCGCTCGGTTTCTGACTCCTGCTCGCTCGGCTGTAAGGGCTTTTGGCACTCTGGAGGCGTGGCCTGTGGCAGATCTTGTCTGTCCTCTGATTGGTTAGTTCACCCCGCACTTTACCCTCTATCTATATAAAAAAGTCTGATGTTCAGTAGTTGTTGGCATAGCTCAGCTGGGAGAGCGGGTGACTCTCGCCCCAGAGGATCCAGGTTCGAGTCCGGGCAAGGAAAATGTAGTAGACGTCATGTTAATTTTTCTTAATTTCAGGTATTTTACAGTTGTGACCGTTCAACTGTCATTAAACGTCCGAATGTTTGCTGGGCAGTGTTTTAAAAAGTGCACATAAGCTAGATGGTTTTAACCATATAAAATTACATTTTTTGTGATACTGGAAAAATACATACTGAAATAAAACTACTGATTGAAAACTTTATGACTGTGGTTGTACAATATATGACTCACTAATACACTGCAAACACCCTTAGAG